ACTGCAATAACTATTCAAACTTATGAAAAGCATGCCTAAATTTTACCTCAGGGCCTGGACATACCAAGTCTTATCCTCAGCAGCTTCATTCAAAGGTGTGCAAACTAATGCAGATGTACGTAACTTACGCAGCCGGAGAGTAAACAATTTTACTGAATTGAGCATCACTGCATCTGACTCCAACATGAAACCTACCAAAAACATACTTTTAAATAGGGATAGTCCTTCATTTTTATTTTGCTGTCTTATCTTTCTTTATAATGAAGTCAATATGTTAAGAGGCGTACTTTTTAGTGTATTAGTTAAAATTTGTTCGAATTACTTGCCTGTGAAAACTCCTGGTGCCCTTTCAGTGAAATACTTTAGATGTTAAAATAAAAGTAATTGGGAAAAAAATGTGTATATTTCCCTCTATAGAGAAATACTTCTTATACACAGCTGTGCTGTTTAAGTTAATATGTGAAAACCAAGGAGTATGCAATAGCATATGTCTATGTCAGCATTTTAACTTGTAGAAGTACACTTCTGAAGCATTGAAATAGAAGGAAACTGGTTATAAAAATCAGACCATATAAAAATATGCAAATAAAACACTTGTGATGATGTTCAAACAAAAAAGCTGTGTGAGAAAGAGGTAGTGGGATTAACACTTCCACATAGTTCGAAAGTGATTATTTGGATATAGCATTCTTTTGTAACCAAGGATCTATAATTTGCATTAATCCTCAGCTTAAAGAGTACTATAACGAAACAAATATATTAGTAAGCTAGAAACTCTATACTGTTCCTGTTATGCAAATTTTCATTTCTGATATGTATTTTGGGGTTACTATCCAGAAAATGCCATTTTCCTTTTAAGACATGAGACAGAAACAACATAAAAAAGACTAAACAGAAGCAAAGAACCTGTCCAACTATATTTGGAGCCAATTTCTTCTCCTTTCTGTATCTGAACTAGATTCTTCGTCCTTTTCCTTTTCCTCCTTTTCACTCCTCCTTCCTTTTAAAGAAGGCTAAGAAATGTTCTGGGATGTGCTTTCTTTTCAGAAAGTCAAAATCCAGATGGGAACCAATGTTACATCATTTATGCCCGAAAAGTTGTTTAATTTTGGTTTGGGTCTTTCAGGCCTTCCATGAAACTCTAGCTTCATCTAGGATTTACTTTCTACTTCATCTGCAAAGAAGTATGGCTTACAACACAGACTTCTTTCACAGTTGGAGAAAAAAATTTGAAGAGCTGCAAACAGCAGAAGCTACCAGATCACAGAATTATTGAGTATTTCAGGTTGGAAGTGATCACTGGAGGTCTTTAGTCTGACCAACCTCCCTCTCAAAGTGATATCAACTATAAGATCAGACCGGGTTACATATGACTTTAGCAAGTCACGCCCTGGAAATCTCCAAAGATGGAGATGGAAAAACCCTCTGGGCAACCTGTTCCAGTGATGGGCATCTCTCATGGCAAAAAGATTTTCTCTTTTAACCAGTCTGAAACTCTGTTTCAATGCAAGCCTGTTGTCTCTCACTCTCTTGTCATGCAGCACTGTGAAGAGCCTGTCCTTAATAATCTCCTCATAGACGTTGTCAGGCTGCTGTTAGGTCTCCTTGAAGCCACCAAAGAAAGAAATTTTTCCTTTTCCCAGGCTGAATAAGAACAGTACCCTCAGTCTCTCTTTACAGTGCAAATGCTGAAGCTTCCTGACCATACTGGTGGCCCTCTATCAAACTCCCTCCCATCTATAGGTTACTTTTACTGTGGATCCAAAACTGGATGCAGTATTCTACACACATAACAGGAATTTTTCTGCTGCTTTTTTTCCTGAAGGTTTCCACTTCTTTCTCCTTTGAGCATGCCTGTGCATACATACATTTGCATGTTCACACATACAGATATTCCGGACCTAAGTATCCCTTCCCTGATTTTGCATACTAAAATGCTATTTGGCTTCTTCTGGGTTATACTAGTGTCAGTGAAAGATGGACCAGTATAATAATACACATTTTAATGTTATATACATATATGCATTCAAAAATTGTGAATATATGCACACAGATATTACTTTTATGATCAAACCGCTACAAAGTGGCTGTGTAAAAAGGCATGGCTTTAGGTATCCCTCGTACACTTCAACATTAGCTTCTAGTATTTGTTTTGTTGTGGGCTTTTTTTTCCCTTAAATTTGTTTCTCCCAAGTTGATGTTGTACAAATCTCAGTTAAAACAAGGAAACAAAAAAGAAAAGTATGAGAAAATGCTCTTTCTAAGGTCAAGGAAGACCTAAGAGCAGAAGGAGGAGAAGGCACCAAATGAAATCAAAATTCCCAAGCTACTGTCATGCTGGCACTGCAGAGATGACAGAAGTTGTGAAACGCTGGCAAACAGATAAGAGAACAGAAGGTGAAGGAAGTGTGCACCCTGCATAATAAGGTGTCTCACTGCAGTTCTACAGTTCAGATGAGGAGTGAAGCATGTGTGGAAGCCTATACTTTGCTCACTGGGGAGCTCTAAAGTCCAAAAGAGAAAAAAGTCCAGGGAAATGTAGTCTTGAACAGCAAATCATCTAGCTAACTCATCTGGATCAAAGCAACAAACTTTTACCTCAGTCCAAACTAGGCTGTCTGAAAAACATTCTCAGTGCTTACACTAGATTACTATAGCATGGGAAACACTAAACAGAAATAGAAAGACCCAACAGACATCTACACAAGCATTCCTTAACTAGCTTCCACATACAAAACAAAGAGTAAATATTCACTCATTTGGGATGGCCTGGGAAATGCACTCTCTGCTTTGTCATTCATGATTATTGTGCCCATCCCACCCTTGGTCTGATACAGCGCCCAATGCTTTATGCACATGACATACATTCTTTTCTTCATCTGTCTCATTTGGCATGTGTCCAAAGTACTGCCACCTATTTATTGGATGACAGAGGCTGCAGATGTTCATGTAATATAAGGAAAACTGTGATCAAAATGTTAAGAAGTTCATCATAGTCCCAATAATGGTGTAATTTATTTCTAACCAAGGCAAAAGATAGGCTTGAAACCTCAAACATGGCTACTAGGCACTTAGTGCTACTGAAATAGCTACTAGGCTACTAGTGCTACTAGGAGTTGTTTTTGTTGCCTTTAACATCCTCCACCAAGTTCAACTCCAGGTGGCCTTTGGTTTTCCTAGCCATGTCTCTGTATGCTCAGTGTTTCTATACAGAGAGGTTGTGGAGTCTCCATCCGCAGAAACATTTAAAACTCAACTGGATGCGGTCTGGGGCAACTAGGTGGCACTCCTTGAGGAGGGGGTTGGATGAAATGATCTCCAGAGGTCCCTGCCAACCTCAATCAATCTGTGACTCTGCAGGTCCACTTCAGAATGCATTAGAAAAAAAAAAAAAAGCATCAGTGAAGTAGGAGATAAAAGTCTTTCAGTTTTGATGTTCTGAATTAGTATGTAACTTGTATAACTTAGTAGTGGTACAACAGTTCTTGCCCCAGGGGATATTCAAGTGAACATTTCCACACATTATGGCTATCTTGCAAATGCCACCATCAAGCTTACATTGAAATTTTGCCTTTTCAAATTAAACACCTTAAGTTAATAACATGGTACATTCTAATGGTGATTCCTGCAAGTCATGATTGTTAACATTTTTGAGATTTAAAGCATTTACATGAGTAAACTAACTGCTGCCTACTACAGCTGTTAAATACTATGTATTAGCGAAAAGTTGATATGCTGTGTCAAAAATATAACTCATAAGTCAATGAATAATCTCCTGCAATGTGCAGAGACAAACAAGCAAACTCTTAATTTCTGAAATATCAATACAAAATTGCATTCCATTTAAATGAGTAATATGGGCACTATAATAATTTCTTTCTAGTTTGGTAAATCATACCATAATTTGTGCACACACTAAATGCTGACCAAATTCATTAAAAGCGATAATCACAAATTGCTTGGGATTTCTATTCACTATTAACAGGCCTTAAATAAATGCCTATGAGATTTAGGAACAAAAGTTGGTTTTGAAACTTCCCTCTGAGGTTTTAATAAACTTAATGAGAAGGGGAAACTCAAAAAACCTCTAGAAACCTGAGTATTTTTTACTTGTAAATGCTGAAACACTGAAAACATACACAGTTCTACTGCTGCAGACGCTTTTTAGTCATAACTAACTAGTCCTCTTTATTTGCAATGAACATAATATTCACACTACATTTATTATTTACCTCTGCAGCCCACATCCCTCATCACAGACATTCAGCCTTCAGATTCACAAGTTTCTGCTGTGTTGATGCCAATTCTCCTGCCTTTAACCTGCTGGCAGCTCTGTATCCGCTCTCACACAGGAGGTCAGGATGAAATGAGAGCTGTAACCCAACATCACTCCATAAAACAACCTAACTCCTTCACTGGACCACACAGAACTTTTCCTTAGGGACTAAAACCCACTGATCCAAGCAAACGTTCAGTGTAGCCCACCTAAATTAACGAGAGAAGGGCAATTTCTCTCATTCTCTGTACTGCTACAGAAGGCAAGGAATTAAAACATATATATTATATTGGTGCTGAAAAAGAAAACAGACTTCTAGAATTACAGATTTTATTATTTTAAAATACATGTTGATTAAGTTACATAAGTGCAGCAAAGAGGGAAGAAACAAAAAGTTCTGTCAACTGGTTCTTTTGTACTCATGTTTTTAAGTGAACACATTGCTATAACACAGCTCTTTCATTTTTTGTAAGAATCGACTGCCAGCAACATTCCCCTTCCCTTAGAAGAAACTAATAGAAAATTTAGGCTGTAAGAAAGTGACTTCTATTTCAAAGAAATGGTTGGTGAGCAGTAAATCAGAAATGTAAGCCTTGATTCATTGATGTATTCACATTTCCAACAAATACTTATTTGATAAGGCCATTTCCTCACTCACAGTCAGACACAGTACAGAAAATTTCCCCTATGAGTCACTGATTTATATTAGTATTAATTATTTTACCTGTAATAAACATGCAATGCCTGGATTTCTTCTTCTAATTTTTTGCACTGTTGAAGAGCAGCCTCTTTTTCTTGTTGCAAGGCTATCAATTCTGCCTGTGAAATGATAAAAGAATTACAAACAATTTATTCAGAATATACATATTGCTTTGAAAACATAACAAGCCTTTGTGCATTAATTTCAGCTGTGCTCTATTACAGTTACATATCCAAAGCTATAGTGTTTTATAACACTGCCTATTTAACTCTTATGGAAAACACCCTTCTTGTTCTAGCACTGCAATTGTTTCTAGTTTGTTGGGGTTTTTTTCCCCAGCAGAATGATGCTGTGAACGGCTTCCCCCATTTATACAGTAAACTTTTTAAATGGCTTAGGTTAGACTTCTGTTCAGCCAAGTGTTTATCAACAAACGTATTTCATATTGATATATGTTCCTATAGTGCAAAACTATTGAGCAACACATAGCAAGTGAAGCAAGGCACTTGGCCACAAACTACCAGTGTAAACCTCTTGGTCTGCACAAGGCTCTCTGTCTGTTCAGCATGGCACTTTTGGTGAGAGCCAGCGGCTGATGTTACCAGCAGGAGAGCTGCTGGATAACTGGCACCCTGAGCGGTGGTAGACGATGAGGCAATGGGGGCTGACAAGACCGTCACCGCTGGCTCATTTTGGGATCCGGGTGCCTTCTCACCCAGGACCTGGATTACAGTGGAGTGAGGGAATCTGTGAGCAACCGCTGTCATCTCCCACCTGTGAACCCTTCCCGGATGTTTCCACTCCCGTTGTTTATTCACATCATGCTGTGAAAGGCTGTGACTCTCAACCATTATGGAGATTGCAGCATGTGGCTTGTAAATCAGGAAGGTAGCCAGCCCCAACAGGGCCTTATGGTTAAAAAGAAGGTAGGAGAAGCAAGTACTCATGTATATTTAATAGGGCCCTATAGGTTAATCACCAGTAATTTTCAAATGTCCAGTTCCAGTAGCACTGCAGGACTTCCTTGAGGGCCCAGGTACCATATAAATTATCTTCACATCAGTGGATGATTAATTGTTGTAACAACAAATAAGATCGGGCTTGCACAGCAATTCTTTGACACATGAGCCTGAGCGTTGGGCTGCTTTCCAATGTTTTTAATTCATGGTGTATGTTATTAATTGTACAAATTGTAGAGCCCCAAACCAAGAGGTACATGTGCGAGAAACGCTCACTGCAGACTCTGCCAGCTCTTCAGGATAGCGTTGTGGAAAAGTTTCTTGGTAAATTAAAGACTTGTTACAAGAGCTATGAATACATGAAGGGAAATGCACAGAGTTCAGCCTCTAGTGCTGCCAAACTCCCTGTATAATCATGAACAACCCTGTCTGTATGCCTCAAAATCTCTCTCCTAAAACAGGGCTCCCACTTGCTTCTGTTTCCTGTTTGTCTATTAAGACCTTAAGTCTTCAAGGCAGGTGTTTTACTGTTTACTGTCAACTCCCAGTCATCTATGGGCAATTTATTCTGCTGGTTGATTAATCATGTCCTGGATACATGGCTGACTGCTGGTGAATTTTATTAAACACCACATTACACAAATGCAGCTACACAACCAGTCTCTGCACTGTGATGTTCAGTGTATCATGTTGCATGCATGATTTTGCATTGCCCTGGGTACAGAACCTACCACTGTAACTGCTCCTGCAACAGACATCCATAAAATTTTTACAGAAAGTTCACTAGAGAATAAACCAAACTTTCCTACTGTATGGAGAGTTCCTTCAGCTTTAAAAGCAGAAAGCGTTAATCTTTAACCTCTGAGTGACAGTAGTTTAGAGCTTCTGATACTGAGAACAATGTACTGGATGCTGGCAAGCCCTAACTCCTGCCAACAAAAGGTTAAAATCCTCTACAGGTGAGCCTCTTGTCTGGTGCTGCTTGCTGCCTTGCAAGCAGAACTCACAGAACGCAAGGATCTTAGCCAAACCAAGCTATTTCTGTAATTATACTGTTCTGTAGGTGAAACAACATTCTTAAAAATTGGAAAACACGCTTGAATCAAAGTAGGTGGTTTGTTCTAGCGGCCAATAATTAACATCCTTGCCAATTTTCAGTGTACTGTGAAGTGTGATTGAAATGGTAGACTGGAAGGAAATGTTTGCAGCTGACACACCTACTCATGGAGAGATTAACAGCTAGTCTCTTTGGAGAGCTATCATAAAATATAGACCTAATGTTCCACTTGCTTTTCAGGACAAAAGTCAGAACGCAGTAGAGTCTGAAGACTCTTATTTACATCAGTTTTTCACCAGAGAAAACTGCACTTATTTGGCTGGGCTTGCACCAGTAAAAATAACAGGTGAATTAGGAGCTTTGGATAAAACAAGCAAACAATCTAACAAACCCCCAAGACAGCTGCAAAAAATGAAGAGAAGAAAAGAAGACATTTGCTAACCTCCCCAGTAGCACATAGTGGGGTTGATACTAGGGAGATGCATGAGACCATAAAAATTTAAGCACAAGACTTCTCTTCTGCACAGAATGCAGCCATGCAACAGAACACCCCATCATTCACAGGCCTAAAGGGTGGTAAATACAAATGAATGACTCAAATATCCTCTCAAAAGAGAGATGTCTTCTTTCACTAGAAGAAGGAAAGCAAAATGGTGCCTCTCACAAAGTCAAATTGCTAACTAAAATAAGGATGCCTGCATTACTATAAAACATTTGGAAGACTCCTCTAATGTATATTGAAATCTATCCATAATGCAAATGGCAAAAATCCTACATGAGCTCACCTCTAGTAATAACAATAGCTGCTTGGGAACTTTGTAACAAAATATTATTCCTTTGGAAAGTGTCAAGCTCTGGAAATCAGAACTCTTCACAGAAATGGGTAAGTTTTGATTAAATTTTTTTTTGGAAGGCAGGGTAAGGAAGGCACAATGAGAGAAGAAAGAACTACACTCAGGTGGCTCTGGTGGTTTTCCCCAAAAAGGTCAATGTAAAGGTGAGGATGGTCACCACTTTGGTATAGGGGTCACCTGCAATGAAGTTCCTGTTTAGTCCAGAAAGGGTTAAACAGATCACTGATCACTGTGATATGGTCTTTTTCTTCCGATTTTGTTTTGCCCACAAGATCCTCTGCTTTCATATTTAGTTTAAGATGGATAGATTCTTTTCCCTTCTATGCCCCACCCCCACCTTCCTGAAAAAGAGAATTCTTGTTTCTACACCTATCCCATTTTGCATTTTAGCAAACAGTTACCTGCCAAAAATTTAAATTTTGCTAATTGCTATCTATCAAACCTAAACCAGCCTGATCTTGACTAAGAAAATATCATTACTGATCCTTTTGTTATTGCTTTTGTTTCAAAATATCTAAATGAACAATGCTGTGTGCTTTCTTAAGCCAAAGGATGGAAAAATGCAAGACTTAGGCAAAGGAAAACAGGGAGTAAAACTAATTTTTATCTTCTTCAAATTCCTCTAGGGCAAACATGAGCATCCTCAACTCTAATCTAAATTGAGACGCAAGAACACACAGCACCCTATGCTGTCAGGTTCCTTGTGGGTGAGAGATGGCTTTTACAGTGCTTTTCAACATCCAACAGAAGGAAAAAACCCAAAAATTCAATGACCTTGACTAATAAATCTTCATATCTTTATCTTTTTACTGATTTTTTTCCCCATGCTTTTATAGAAAGCATGTATATTTCCACCTACACGTATTTATCGAAAACATATATTTTTCCCTCCTTACATAGGCTAAACAAACAACCTTTTGTGTTACCTCTCAGCAAGCAAGATCTATATTCTCCTGATCAATTCAAACGCATCTCTCATCACTGCTCTGCTAGCAGTATGCCCTAACTCTGGTGGAAATATATTACGTGATACATTCTTGCATCCCTTTTGCTCATAGTCACCCTCTGATGTCTGTTCTCCTGCCCGCTGGTATTACCCAGCTAACAGTGGAAATTCTTATTCATACTGGAACAATGATACCTTACACTTGGTACCACTGAATTCCACCCCACTGCTTTTATTTTTCCAGTACTTGAGGCCATTCCAACCTTTCTACAAGATAGCTTGAACTTATTTTGTATGAATAACGTCTCCACTTTGTATTAATAATATCTCCCAGCTCTGCATCATCAAGCAATTTTGTTGGTATGATGTTGCTCTTCATGCCAAAGGTTCTCAATGACAATTAAAGAAAACTGGTTCAGCACCAATCGGTGAGAAACTGGAGTGAAATTCCACTAGTGAAATCCTTGGACCTTAACGTTTCTCTGTTCAAAGCTGTTTGCTGTTACCTTCCTGCTAACTAGTTCCTTATTGCCTTTGACTAATCCCTCATCTCCTTCATGGGTACATGACATTTTGCAGACAGACATGAGCTCAACATGCCCATCCTTCCAAACACGAGATGCTAGGTAAACCCAGTTAGCAGAAAGCAGCATTTCCCACATTAAGCTTGTGCTTGCTTGTAAAATAACAATGTACACATTCTCCAGTGTAATGAATAATTTTCCATATGGCACCACATGAAGCTTATGTGTTAACTTATATTTAACAAGTTTCCTTGTCTAAATAATCAGTATTCATACCAAAGAAGAATTCTTGCATGATCTTACTTGGGTGAAAGTTGTACTTCAATCCACTGTTGATGGATCCGTGCTTTAAAATAATTTTCCTTCCAAATTTACTCTGAAGCCTCACAATAAAGACTAACTGGTCTGCAATTGTCAGAATTCTGTTTTGTTTTGTTTTTTTTTTCCCTTCTAAATATAGATGCTGCCTCTGCTAATTCCCTGTCATATTACACTGTACACTGCTCATCATATTTATTAAAGAACTTCACTATCATTATTGTAATTTCAGGTATAAACTCTTTCAGAACTGGGGATGGAAACCTTCCATTATCCCAATCTGAGCACAGTAATCTGTTGAACAGCTAGGATGTACTTCATTTCCATAGATTCACTTTTCTTAACCCCTGTCCTTGTAGTTGACATCAACATGGCCCAATGTTGAGAGAAAAAAAAATAAATCATACAGATCTGGATTATCCTTGATCTCTGTGCCATTCTCAGAGTGATGGCAGACTTCC